CAGCCGTTCGACTTCCACTCCGAAATCAATAAACGGAAGCCACTATTTCTATATTCGGCGCTTCCGCCTGACCACGACCATCGAGTTCCACCCCCGGGACCATCAGAAATCTATCATTTTATCGACGACATTATCGTTTGTTCAGAGAGGAAGAGAATCTTACCAGTTGTTCGAGTACAGTAGCTCAGATTGATCATAGGAAATGTTAAAAAGCTGACATGTTTGATTCATGGAGGAATTTCTTAAGATTTTAACATCTAAGAAAGATGGAGGAGTAAGATTAAAAATTGGAAAGATCTTAGCGAATTCTATGGATTTTATTTTAACAGATGAATTGTAATTGAGCTTAGATCATTAAAGGTAAGAGTATTTAGTTTTTACAGTTAAATAATAGCTCAATTTTTATTATTTTTATTTAGTTTTTGTAAAATAGATTTTTCTTTTAGAGATCCATTTTTCTAGCATTTTATTACGTGATAGAATTGCTTAGAATAGATAGAATTAACTTAAGTATTGATTTAATGGAAAATTGAATAGTCTAAGGACAAAATATATTTTGTATTAGACACAATTGAATTTTGAAAGTTTTAGTAGCTATATTCAGTTAAGTGTACATGGAATAAAAGTCTAGCGACCCAAAAGCAAAAGATTAGAACTTTTATTATAAAAATTAAAAAGAAAAAATTAAAATATGGTTAGAATCAGTACTTTCCAGTAATTTAATTTCTTATCTACCAAATATCTAATTTGATATTGATTTTATCGATGATTGTTGTTAATAATTATTTATTGACCATAAATAAGTAAATCGAATATCGTTAATAACTGCTAATATCTACTAAATGGTAATGTTTAATTTTAAAGATTTAATCCAGTCATACGCAAATGACTAACAGTGCGAATTCACGAAATTCTTTATCTAAAGGCCTGAATTATCTTTTAGCTCATCTTCTGACTCATCATAAGCGTTCTACAAGCGACTATAAGCGTTTCTAGGGTTTCTAAGACGTTCTCGCAAATTCCAAGAAATCTTAGAATTAAACTCTCGCACTACACCCGTAAACTCAATATTCTTCTTATTCCCTTTTTCCATTTAGTTTTATTTAATCGTCGCAAGAACTGATTAACATCTGACTTCGCGTGAGGGAAAACTGTTTTCTATTATAAGCTCATTTCTATGCATTCGTTGCGGCATTCTAAAGTTCACGTTGAATGCGCGTTAAGTTACAGAAACACGATGAAGTATCGATTAATTGATGACCAATTTCAAGGTTCTCCAATTAAGTAGCGTTACGGTAAATCGCGTGAAATAGCGAACGTAATCCCTTATAAAATTTCAGGAAACATCGTTTGCACAAAATTGCAATAAGTTTCATCGCAGTTTGTAACTTAGTCGTGTTATAAGGATCACTTTACTAAAAAGCTTCAAAAAGTGTAAGAGGTCAATCTCGATGTAAACAGCGTTTCTTTCAGCAATCTTTTTCTCAACTCTAGAACGACACTGTTAAATTTCCCGAGAATATGCAACAGTATAAGATCATGAACAAAAATAAAATTCAAGTATTCTAAATAATAATCAATATTTCTGGAGGATTTTCTTCTAAATACATACTTTTCGGAGACATCTCTAAATTAAGCTCTTAATAGGCTGTTACTTATAAACGAGGGCATGTACTACTCATAATTATTCGAAGAATGCACCTTTAATACATTAAGTGTCTTAAATTGAAATTATTCGAGCAATTGTCCAACGACTTTAGAATTCGCTGGAATAATTATGAGCAATAGTAACTACATATGTAATTTTCAACCCTCATGAAATCTAACCTAACCTAACCTAACCTAACCTGACCTGACCTAGCCTAACCTAACCTAACCTAACCTAACCTAACCTGACCTAGCCTAACCTAACCTAACAAATCTAGGTTCAACGAACCGATCGAACACAGATCGTAAAAGATGAATACAGAAATTAATATTCTGCTTATTCAAATAATTATAAGCCGTAATGATTATGTAATTTTAAATCTCAAACCTATAACCTAACCTAACCTAACAAATCTATGTTAGATTCAATGGAACGATCGGACAGAGATCACAAACAAATACCTAATACAGAAATTAGTCTAGGAACTAGAAAGTCAATGGATTGTGGAACGAGGCAATTATCATGCAAATTCTACAAGGACTAAACGATTCGAATCACGAACAACGTTCGTAGGCTTTCAGTCGATTGAGCCATTCGGGTTTAGAATTCAAAGCTCCCCGCTTCTCCAAGTCGTTTTCTTTTACAGTCAGACGTGCACACGCCGCGTGCGCCGGCCTTCTGTGTGCAAGGTTAATCCAATTTCCTAATTTCTGCAATTAATCGGAACGCTCGTCGCTGCGTTGGCGGCTCGATATGATTACGCATTGTACGCCTATTTGACGCATTGCAGTCGAACGCTGAAGCAAAATTGCTCGCATAATTGTCTTAGGATATTTACTTCGTGAAAATTCCTTGCCGAAGATTATTGGGAGATTCTACGTAGCAGAAATTTAGTCGAAAGGTCAAGATGATGATGAAAGTTTTCGATTGAATTCTTTGGCAGCAATTACGTAAAGAAATACTTAGAGAAAATTTTCTGTTTCATAATATTGATATATAACTAGATTACGGATATATCATATTATAATATGCAATATTTAAATGGAAATTTAATTAGAAAAATGCTTTATCTATTAAATATCATAGAAGGTATTGTTTTGAATGTTTTATATATTTCTGCATATTTATGTGCATTCCCTGCATTTTTATATCTTCAAATATCTCACAAATGTATAAGAATCCATAGTCTACTGATAATAGAGACCTCTTTGTAAACATTTGGTATGTCCGTATTAATTTTAAAAAGACACTATCAAGTTGCTAGAGAGCTTGTCTATAAAAATGCAAACAAATCTTAGAATATTGAGATTTCATCTATTCTAGTTCTTCTTACACTGATTTATTTATTCATAATTATTCCCTCATAAGTCGTGGGATTGCTGACAATCAGTAACAAATCTGTATTGCAGTCACTTAAAGTATTTAAAACAGATGGGCAATCTTTTAAATTTATTGTATATTAAATAGTAATTTAATAACTAGTAACAATTTACATAAGTAGTAATTTGTAGTAAATACTAAATACTGTACTAAATGGTAGTAATATAAAACATAAAAATATTATATTTTTCTCATAGATTCTGGATGAAACTATCATTAATTTTCATAGAACAAGTGTGAATGAAATTAATCCAGTTTGCTACGATTAATTTTTTTACAGCCATAGAGGTTCATACATTAATTTCAGTGAGAAACTATGTAAATAATCCCTCGCATGACAAACAGCGGTTTTATGTTTAGATGAATGATATACTGCTCGAAATGAGCAGCAAAGTAACGCAAATGTATTATATATATTATAACATATAATATATAATATTATTACTGCAGTTGTTTACGCGTAGAACGTGAAACCCGATACCGATTGATTTTATACGTGTTCGTATTAAGTGTTGGTAATTATATCGATAAAACGGATACCGATTACCCTTCTGTAGCAATCTTGGCCAGTGTTCAATGTCTAAAACTTGCACAATTTGCAGCGCGAATCACGTTCGCAAAGTCTTTTAATTTCAGTTTCATAATGCGTATTCAATTTCGCGACGCTGTTAATATAAATAATTCGTATGACACAGAAATTTTATAGTTTGGCCAATACTAATACAAAGAAATATTATTATAAATTAAATATCACAGATATCTGATTTCAAATTGTAGATCTCCGGAAACATAGTTCAGATTTTAATCATTGAAATTTGTATATACTTGAATTTCTGAATATTAAAATCATTCGATCATTTCACCTTTCGAGTACATGAAAAATAAAATATCCGGATTCTTGAACATTAGAACACAATAGTATTCTGGTACCTGAATCTTTTTAATGTCAATTATCCAAATTATTAAATATCTCAGGTTTCAGGTCCCAAGTGTCAACATTTCCCGAGTACTCGAATTCTCGAATACCTGAATTTTTGGTGTATCTGAATTTTTAGAGTACCTGGATTCTCGATTTCTATAGGTATATGATAATAGCCATGATAATAGCGGGCATCATCAACTAACTGATGACAAACGATAGAAATTTAAAAGAATAAGAGTTCCTCAACTTCGATCAATGTCGTATAAAACATATCTTAGCCTTAATTCAACCCTTCCTTGTATAAGTAGAGTGATGCATACGACCCTAAGTATTACTACATCCGTTTCGCCTCTTAGTATCTTAACTCATCGTAAAATCTACGAATATAATTTGTACATCTGATTCATTAGGAGTAAAAGACGTATAACGTCTACTTATTTTACCACTCCTAATGAGATGTGAGAATGTTTATGTAGTCCTAATTAAACACATCTTTAAAGCATCTTAAAAATGTTCTATATAATTAATGGAATACAACATGAATATTAATGTCAACAGGAGGATGCGAACCTGACACCGGAGGAAAGGCTAATGGAGGAAGCAGCGATCGCCGAAACTGAGAAGCGATTGTATACAAGGAGGAAGTTTCTGGCGGAGAAATGCGCCGAAGAGGGATTAGACAGGCCTGGAAACGATTCTCTTCACAGGCCTAACGCCTGGGAATTTCTTGTAAATAGAGAATATCATTTAATATGGTGCAACGTCTTCAAAGCGGCCTCTACCTCTTGGATGTATAATTTCAATCTACTTGCGGGGTAAGAAGCATCCAATTTGCCAAATGTTCTTTTACCTTCATGTAACAAAAGTTGAGATAATTTTAACACGTATCGCTTTTTAAGATACATTTTCATATATCATCGTTCTTTCAAATTTTTTTAGTGAATTTTAATATTGCTAGACTGCGAGTTCTTATGCAAATTTATATTTCTTCCAGCATAATTAGAAGAGTGGAATCTAAATAGAGTTTTTTTTACCCGTTATTGTTTATTAAATGTAATTCATTGTTAAATATTATATATTCATATTTATTATGTAATACTTATTACGAGTATAATGCTTTGAATATTTTATATATTTCTGTATATTTCATGCATTCTCTGTATTTTTGCATCTTTAAATTTTCATAAGAGTCTTAGCAGAAGTTTAAATATCTCAGAGAGATAAAGATCTGTCTTATAAAATAAAACATTCGATGCTCATGGCAAAACTGATCCAACATCTGCCAGGCTAAGTTTAAATAAACAGCTTGATCAACATCAAACTTTATAAATTGTTTTCAGATACAGCCCACAGTTCTTAAAGGCCTCAAAAGCTGTACCTGTTTCTCTGGCGAGGCAGAAATATCCCAGACACACGGCCGATGAGTTGAACAAGTTCCTAAACGACAGCATTAGTTTCTTGATAGTAAGACATCCGTTCGAGAGGTTGCTCAGCGCCTACAGAGATAAATTGGAGCATAGCTTACCGCATACGTTCCATAGTAATCTTGGATCCCATATTGTTTGGAACTATAGATCTAGGGTAAGGACAAACCATCTTTAAAGTTATGTATGTTATTTTAATTTTCTTTCTATGTTTCATCAATTTGATTGGTCTTGTGGAATTTAATGAATCATTATCGACTATGATTAGGACCGAAAGACAAATGGACGACACGGTCCAAGGTATCCACTTTTTGAAGAATTTGTACGATGGTTGTTATGTCAATGGAGAGCTGGGAACGAACTTGATATGCACTGGACTCCAATTGTGATCTTTTGTACGCCGTGTCAAGTACGATTCGACGTAATTGCAAAGTTTGAAACGCTCCATGTAAATATATCTTTCAAAAAATTCTATGTAAACGATACAATAAATCAATTCTATATTTTAATTGGAAAAATATATTGATTAAAGGAAGATCAAGATTATCTCATAAAACAAGCTCACGTGGGTCACATCATTAAACCTGAATGGAAGAATCCTACCAGGGGTGTCCAAACGAAGGACGTTATTAAGAATTATTTCGCTCAATTATCGAAATCGCAGATCAAAGATCTCTACGAGATGTTTAGGTAAGTATACTAAGTGGGAACGATATAGCACGACCGTAAATTAAAATTTTAATAAGGAACACCCATTAACGCTATGATAACTAGTTAATTCCAAGAGGAATTCTAACGTTAAGAATTAATAAGGTGTAATTATATATAAAATATAGTCCAACTGTATATAGTTATAATGAAATATTAATAGCAATAATAATATATTCTTGGTATTTCATTTCAGGTACGATTTTGTGCTTTTCGATTATTCTCCCGATGAGTACATAGCACTTGGAAGAGACGAGGATACAAAGTTAATCTGTAAAAAGTAATGCTAGTATTTCGTACATTATTAACAAGCGTATCAACGCTGGAATTGTTTTTTTCTTATTTTTATCTTTTTGTCTTTAAATATTAAACGACACCTATTAAAATGGCGTCGATTACAACGAAAATATTTGATAGCAAATATCTGTTGAAGATTAAGATGAGAAAACAGAAACATACCGAGAATTGCTCCAATTAGCGATACACTTGCAAAGTACTGCTGCTGCATTTAAACTTTTGATAAACGAAACGTTACAGTATATTCAATTGTTAGGGCCTAAGGCAACAAGACGTTTGTAAACTGTTATAAATCAACGCAAAAAAGATTTTAAATGTATTATACCTGTGAGAGTACCTCGTTGCTTAAGTATCATATGCGACAATGAACTTTTTAATATACGAGGGTTTATGGTAAGAGTGATGCTCACTTTGTCGAATTTTTTCTGCTTTAACATCGAATGAGAATAGCCTATTAGTTCGAAATAGAATACTTTGCATTCCCAATAGACTACGTAGAAGTAACGTCCCTTTCTTTGTTTCAACTGAATTAATTTTTACAGAATACAATCGATATGAGTACAGCGAAGTTTTATTCCAGATATAACTTAATTAAAGTAAATTGGGCTAATTGTTTCGTGTTAGCATATTTTGAAAAACATGTATACATTTTCCCTCATTTTATATGTATATATCTGTGTATATAAATATACATACACGTATATTGATATAAACGTTGTTGCAATAGTAATTATTGTCATTGTACCAATGATAATAATACTGCCTTGAGAAAATGTAATTTATAATTGCATTAGTAAGATGTATGTTAAATTATACAACTTCCAAATGCAAGAATATCTAGAGATCTGTAAGTTCAAAGTTTTCCAATATTTACTTATATTTTAGAAGTGATATTTGAGTTAATAGGGTTACATCTCTGTAATGAAATGGTCTTTTTATAAAGACTTAATTAAATAGTACAGCACATTATGTAGTACTTAAATCTAATGCAAATATAAATTTTTCAATAATGAAAAATTTACTGCAAATAAAATCGTATTATTTGTAAAATCAGATCGAGATAAAAATAATACGATAAATTTTAATTTCTTATAATTTTATAAATTGCAAACACGAAACGACAATAATTATTTTACAAAATAAAGAAATTTAAAAAACAATTGATTACATAGAAAATTAATCTTATCTTACAATGAATGAAATTGTATTTAATTAAATTAATTAAGGAAATAGCAATGACAAAATAAATATCTTATTTGATTGTCCAAGGTGGAGATAAAAATATCAACACTCGCATCAAAACATTACTATTATTATTTTCTTAATTCAATTAAAATTTATAGATAATCCTTGGAAAATCAAAGCTTTTTTATATTATATTTTATTTGTAGTTGTTAAAATAATGTACTTACTTATTCGAATTGTTCATTAGTTCTATTCCAATAACCCATTTGTCATTAAAAATATATTTCCAACTGCTTTTTATTACCAAAATCTCATAATGGAACTTCTTGACTTTGCATTTTTTCTTCTTTACTACTGGTTGTCCATTTATTGCATACAACTACAAATTGTATATATTGAATTTAATATACTTTAACACTTGTTGAATGTAATTATTATAAATATATCATATTTCCTTTCTCATAATTCCTTATTATAACACATAAAACTCTATTTAATTAATTTTTGTTTATAAACTCCTTTCATACTAACTAGTTGGTATTAAAAAAATTAGACTAAAATATTCTTCTCCACTCTTATAAAGTACCTTTGAAGAAATTTTGTTTAATTAACAAATGAAACTATTTATCATATGTCATGTGTCATATATGAATAATGTAGGTTTTTTATTTTATTTTTTATTATGTTATTGTTATTATTTTTTTTTCAAATAACTCACATCACTATCGGAGTCCGAAGATATGTCTTTTCCATACAGAGCTTGATTGTACAAAGATTCTGAAATACGTTTCGTCATATCCTGAACTTCTTTAATGTCATTCGTTGTTTTTTCGATTCGAGTTTGCACATTCGACAATGTTTTCATTAAATGTTCCTCTATAGGATTGCACTTTGGAGTTGGAATCGGCAACTCCTCATCGCTAAGCTCGAACATGTCATCGTCCAAATCCATTTATATTTTCATAAATGAAGGTGATATTTAATTATAATATAATAATATTTATAGTTATTTTGATAATAGATCAATTATTCCATGCACATTCGCACAACCTCGTCTAAACAGGTAAAGTAAATGATAAACATTTCTCATGTGTCATTTTTAATCATTAACTATACGAATATAAAAAATTCTTATATCAAGAAAATGAAATTAAAATTTAGTGTTTTATTTGCAACTTTTATGAAAATTATATAACAATCATATGGTATTATAATTGCAATTTCTTATAATAATTAAATTAAAACTTTATTTAAAGAGTCACGACTTGTAAATAAAAACAATGAATAAAACCTAATAAAACCACGTGATTAAAATCTAGGGAAATTAGTTTTCATTATCGATTGAGGAATTTTTATTATCGAGAATAGTTATCGGTAACCAAAAAATTTTTTATTTTATTTATAATGATTATTCGTAACTAAAACACTTAAAAATAAATATTTTTTAATTATTAATCTTTTGAAAAAATTTCTTTGAAATGTACTTATCAGTCTTTCATTTAAACAATTACATATGTATTACTGGATCATGTTACCTGTTTTGTCAATGACTTGTTTGATAAAAATTTTAGAAACAACTATTATTTTTGGTCCCTGCTTAAATGTAATGTTTGATCGTTATAATAAAATGTAATAAAATGTAAATGTATGAAATTACAAATTGAATGATATGTACTTCTAAAATAAAGGATTCCTATCATGAAAGAAATGTCATTAGTCTTTGATATTTAATTTGAATTTCTAAGTTTTCTGTAACAATTACATTATAATAAATTTATGGTAATTAAATTTGTAATTCATAAATCAGATTAAAATGCATAATAACATTTACTTTAAAAAAAATTCCTAGACCTTGTAACACAAAACTACATCTGGATGTTAGATCTATCTTGTATTTTATTTATGGTCTATCACCTTGTCTGTGTTGTATATATAATATGTAATTCCTACTGTAGGTAGAGGAAGAATGAGTTAGGTACAGATCGTTTCGTGATGTTAGGTCAATGAAAATAATTAGGAGCTGTATTCTTTTACTCTTTAGTAGACTTGAAAGAAATCAGAAAGAAATATGTGGCTAGAAGAATGTGATAGTTTTGCTGAACTATGTCGAGGATATTTGCCTTATTATTTACTGATAATTTTGCCGATTTTTATTATTATTTCTCCGGTTAACCCAGTTGCCGCATCTCACGAATTTCCCGTGTATCGAATGCACCAGTATGACTTGCACGGTGTGCCACATGGTAATGAAATGTTTTCGCCTTAAATATTCAACTTATTAATATTGCCATTTTACTAACTTGCTTAACATTTCATTTACATAATCTATCATCAGGTTGCCGTAGTGCGCCGATTTCGTTGGAAGCAAGATCCCTTACAGGGTGGAGTACTTCTAGACACTGTGTAGTTACAAAAGCTTTGAGTCTTACTCCAAGTTTATTTCACTCTATTAAACATAAGGCTGGAGCTTTGATAGTAGTTTTACCAGAAAAACTTAATGACTTGACATTAGAGGAAAAACAGGTTGATTCAATTTATTCTTGATAGACCTTTTTCATAAACATAACAGTTATATTTTAAATTCTTATAATTTCACTATATTCTTATTGTTATTCTCTATAATTCTTATTGTTTATTGCAGCATATTATGAGTCTGGAAGAATCTATGCTGTTTGGGCCAGAAACGACAATTCCAGTGTATTTTACTTCATGGCATCCTGATTTGCAAACTATATTAGATGATCTCTCCAACGGTTTTATTACTGATGAGAAAGCTGGATCTGCAGCTGAAGCAATGTTTAATTCTATATCTGCTAGTGGTTATCAAGTAGTTGTAGCAACTGGACAGGCATTAGCTAAGACAGATGTAAAAATAGCTACTTTACATGGGAAGCTAACTGGTACTGGAGCTGAAGAGAAGTTACCAACTATAGCCTTGGTAACGCATTACGATAGTGCTGGTGTTGCACCTGTAAGAGAACTATAGATATAAATGTTTATTCATACAGCTGCTAAGAATCTTAGAAATAAAATATGTATATACATGTATGTTATTGCTAATAAATAGGAATTGTCTTTTGGAGCGGACAGTAATGCATCAGGAGTGGCAATATTATTGGAAATAGCAAGATTATTTTCTACTTTGTATTCCACTAGTAGATCAAGACCACAATATAATCTTGTCTTTATTGTAACTGGTGCTGGCAAACTTAATTACCAGGGCAGTAAAAAGTGGCTGGAGGATCAATTAGATGGAATTGAAGGCTCGATAATACAAGTACTATATACACTAAAAGACCTCTATCATCATACATTTGTTTCAAAATTTTGAAGTAATAATATAATATATTATTTGAATTATTAGGATGCTGCATATGTTATTTGTCTAGACACAGTATCTACTAGTGATAATCTTTATGTGCATGTCTCCAAACCACCTAAAGAAAATTCTACAGGTGGTCTTTTTTATAAAAAACTTAAAGCTGTGTCTGAGTCATTGAATATGACTACTGTTGAAGGCGTGCACAAAAAAATCAATTTAGCTGATGAAACATTGGCTTGGGAACACGAAAGATATAGTATTCGTAGATTTCCAGCTACGACTTTGTCAACTTTGAAAAGTCATGAAGATCCAATTAGAACAACGATCTTAGATGTAATAGAGACAAGACAAATAGATAGATTATATAAACATACACAAACAGTTGCAGAAGCATTAGCTAGACATATATACAATTTAAGCTTTAGTCAAGTTTTCATGGATCCTCTGGTATACATCTTTTATCATATAAGTAAGAGAAATGAGAAAATACCTCTCTTTGTTTTATTAACTGAATTTATCTTTTTTAGGGAGTTTCTAAGGAATCATTATCCTTATGGTTTAGTTACTTAGCGTCGCAACCAAGGGCTGCTACATTACTGGCAGACAAAAATAATATGTTAGTTGGTACATTAAAAGAAGCAATGGCTAGATATTTGGGAGATGTTAAAGTTACCTTGCATAGTCCTGACAAGCAAGACCCAGAATTTGTATTTTATGATATTACAAAAGCAATATTGAATGTGTACAGGTAAATTTTTAAATTTCACTTATTATTTCATTTATTATCAACATTATTTCTTGTAGATAACGTAGTTTATTATATTTCAGCGTAAAACCAGCTGTATTCGATCTCTTTCTAACAATTGCCATCATTATATATTTGGGACTTATTTATGTAATCGTGCACAATTTCCCTCGCGCATATACTTTAGCAACTCGTTTTTCTGTAAAGAACAAATCATCGTGAAATTGTATTCAACTATCGTTTCTTTGTTGCATTGTAAAAATTCGCTACATGTTTTTTAATGAATTTAATATATAATGTTATAGGTGTTAAAGGTGAAGCAAAACTGTATGTACATTAATTTTTGCTGGTATTAATCTTGAATTAAAAATCGTCTACAT